AGCAGACGCATTAATTATGGGAACGATATTCTCATATAGTTTGACGGGATTGGATTCGGTATTGCATGATTGACCCGTGACCCACATAATGGCACACGCCCCGCAGCAGCTTATTCAATGAGGGCGTGTAAGTTGGACGAAACAGAAGAAGAAAAAAAAACGAGTCAATGGCCTTTAACCGATGACTGTAGTAAGTCGCTGGCTCAGCAGCGGCAGCTCACACGCCCCTCGAGCGCCCAGCAGCAGCCCGCATCTCGCGTCCCGTGGACAGTAGCATAGCTTGACGCTGGGATCGCTGATTTGTGTGTTGTGTGTGCCTTTTTATCGGTACTGTGACAGAGCTGCAGAGTGGAGTGTCAGGCAACAGCTAGTGACAGCAGCAGCAGCAGCGGCCCACCAATTTATGGGCTAGTCGCACGCGATTAAAAAAAATCGAATGCGCGCTCGGCCTGGGTTGACAAAAACAAATGGAAAATGCAATGCAATGGAGGGAGAGTGGCTGTAGGAGCCAGCATTCGCCATTCGGCGTGTGAAAATCCAACAGGGCTGACTTGACTGTGTTTGCTAAGGCTGTGGCGCCTGCGGGTAAGTGTTGCCATCCATGGAGAGTAACGGTGCTTGTTGTTTTGTGACCAGACCAGCGTTACCAGGCAGCAGCAACCAAGCCAACGACGATGACTATTGCGTGGGCGTCTAACTGTAACACCTGCTGCTGCTACTGCTTCGGTCGCTGCTGCCTAATACCAACTTTTGCTATTAAATTAACATTTCTCTGCACTCCCTCTCTCTTTCTCTCTCTCTCGCTCTTTCCAATTTTAATTTCAGCTAAAGGAATGAACGAATGAAGCCGGAACACCTTTCAACCCAGGTTCATTGTTATTGCTGCTACTGCTGCTTCACGCTTATTTAAGTGCCAACGCACCAGAGAGAGCGAGAGATAGAGGGAAAAGAGAGTCGAGTCTACTTTACATATTTTCTAAATGAATGCTGTTTGTTTTTTTTTTTCCTGTATGATTATTTGTAGGTACAGACACAGGGCTGTATCCATGGAGTTTCAACCCCGGCCAAGAAGAGCATTGAATTGCAACGGTTGCAGTGGAAACTGATGACTTTCTGGCCTGGCTTTCCCTGCACTGAATTGCACTTCCTCCCAGCCAGTCAGGCAGCATCAAGTTGGCAATCAGGAACAACGACCAGAATTCGCCTCGTCAAACGCTGAAACTAATTGATATAATAGTTAAAATAACAAACTAACGAGAAAGAACCTGGTGGGCAGCGCGGTGGTAGAAGCAAAAGAGGTTGAACTGCATCGCACCAACAGCAGACAGAGCGGACAGAGCAGAGCGCGGCGTTGGTGAAGTGCAAAACCTTTCCAATTTGAAAATAGTTTTCCTGCTATGTGTGCTCGTTCCCACAAACAGAAATACCAACAACAGCAGCAGCCAGCAGCAGCAGCAGTCAGAACAAGCACAGCAGCAACAATGCCTGCACTTTACAACGACGCCATTGGGCAGAGGAGGAGAGGAAAAACAACAACAACTACAAGAAGCAGACGGAGAAGAAGGAGCTGCAGCGGCAAGCGGTGGATTGGATCGGATCGGGAAAAGTAGAAGCAACAGCAATCGGTGGAGCGGGAGTAGCAGAACCACCAGCAAGCGATGATTGGGGAAAAGGAAGGAGCCAGAGCCTCAGCTGGATAGGAGGGGGACTGGGATGGTGGGGGATACTCGTAGTCAGCAAAGATGACAATGCAGCGATTAAAGCAATGCAGTACGAAGAAGAGATGCGGCGGAACAACTTGAACTCTCTAGTTGCTGTCGATGCCTCAGCGACAGCAGAAGCAGCTGGAAAAATGTTTACCCCAATCCCCAATGCGCGGCATTTCCGTTTGCCAGCGGAGGGGGGAGGATGCGGCAGCCGATGCTGATGCACTTTGCAATCGGCACTGCAATGTGCAATGTTCTGACGGCAAAGAAAAAATAATCACATTTATTAAATCAAAATAAAATATGTTTGAATGCACTTCCTAAACGCGCTGCGTCTTTGATTTATTCGTTTTGTAAGGGAACAAAAGAGGACGAGGGGAATGCTACGCCCCTTGCTTTGGGCAAGTTCGACATTGCAGCTGCCAGGTGAAATGGCCGCTCTTAGATAACTACAGAATGTTGCATAGGTCAGGTTTATTATTCTGCTTATGAAAATATACAGAGTCGAAGCAGCAATTCACAACAAAACAAAAAATGTGGCGCGGATCCGTAACAAGATTTGTAATTTGGCCGGCATCCATGTTTACAGTGTTAAGCATATTTTGTGCTGTTAGGCGCGTAGTACGGCACAAGCCATGGTGCTGAGCGTTAAATTCTCATCTGGCTGCCACACCGAACCGAACGAACGTCAGTGGCTCAAATGCTAGTTATGATAATTACTTAACAGCATGTCCAGCATCCTGTTTAAGATTTTCGGACTCAACAATGAAACTGAATAATATCGATAATATAACTGAAATAAAATTGCCGAGTACCCAAAAGAGGAAATTTAATAATTGTCTGCAAAAAGACAGATCTTAAATAGAAGTTGAAACCGGCTCAAAAAAAAAAAAGACGCGTAGTACAAAATGTGCTGTTAAGCGCGAAGCTGCAGCTTTACAGCACTGCCGATAGCTCGTTTCGATAACTACACTTTCACCTCGATCACATTTTGCCATTCACACGGCGCGTATCAATGTTGAAATGCACCAATTTGAATTTGAATAAAAGTTTAAGGTGAATTACATTGATTTGAATATTAATAGTTACTTTATGGAGCTCTCAAGTTAATGATTTAATTAAACAATAGCTTGGGCACTTAATTAAAGTAATTTTAGCTGCAAACCATTTGATGAACAAGATAATTACTCGCAATCTACTTATAAATTAAATGCTTTAATACGAGTTTTGTGCGTTACTCCCACTTGCCTTGAATGGAACTCGAAGATTACAAGTGCAATAGGCTTGTAAGCTTTTCCTTTTGCGCGCAACGATCAGTAGCAAACAAAACTAACGTAATACGAAGGCGGAGCGGAGCAGCCACAATAAATTACACACATGTTTGTGTGCAATGGACTAGCAGCAGGCAGACCAGCAGCAGATATGACCATATAATCTCGCTGTGCATAAATTTTACGAGCCGAGCATTTGTCGGATTTTGTTTTGCACACAATTTCGCAGCAGCTGAGCTGGAAGAGCAGCAAGTCACGCTGCAGAGCTGCCCCCACTGGCCCACAGCGAAACTGTAACAATTAAAGGCCGCCCCAAAAGTTGACCATGAACTGCTTATGACTCCGTCAACGGGGCCTTAACTTGGGGGGAGGTCGTCTGTGGCGCTCGATCTGGATCTGTGGCCCATTTTCCTGCCCGTTGGGAACTTAATGTGAATGTGGGTAACCTGTCCAGCCAATATTTGGGTTGTGGGCTTCAAAATTGTGCCAACGAATGCCATCGATACGTATTTACAGAAAATCTGCACCAAATCCGTTCCTTGCCCGCCTGTCCGCCTGTTCATTGTTATTGTTTTCAGCTTCTTATTTGCCATTAACACGATTTTGAACAGTTTATACTTGAGTTTTTCTATGTATTGTCGCTGTCTGTCTGCCTGGTGTGTCTGCCTGGGTTGGGTGTACTTAGCTGCGGGCAGTTGGCTTGGCCGACTGACTACCGCATTTCGTCGACCGGGGCAGCTTCAATTTTTGATTGGAGCTCGACTCGTGCGGTTCGCGGTCGGTGCGCATGCGCAAAAAAAGGCAAGAAAAAGCATTTTGATCGTAACGCGAAATCAACTATAGTTCCTGGACAACATGTTGTGGCTATTGCTAGTAGCGCCAGCGCTGTCGCTGCTGCTGCTCAATTATCGCTGTGGAGTTGTGGCAAATGTCACGGTAATTGAAGACATTAGGAACGCCTTCAGAGGCATCACCAACGACACTGAGGTGCTAGACCACATTATACAGGAAATGTACGGTTCAAGTATGCGCAGTGCGAATCCCAGCTTTGTCTTCCGAATGCCCAGCGGTGGAAGTGAGGGCTACGAGCTGCTCACCATGCAGCGTTCTGATTTTGCGGAACCAATCTTTCCGAATGTCAGCGAATCAATAGCAACCACAGTCAGTGCACCCTTGACCGCTGAGCCGCCGGAGACGAATGTGAAGACCAGCCTGGTGACCTCTCCCCATGCCGAATGGCAGCAACTAGGCCTGGAGGGTTGGGCAGGTGAATTGAACCCTCCCCTGCCCTGGCTGGAGCAGAGCCACAAGTGAGTTTCAATATTTGTATTCCACACCGACCAAATCCTTCAAATTACTCTTTAGGGATTCCCATCCAGCGATTAGCTGGCAGAATACATATCCGCGCGATGAGATACTCCTCGATCTGAAGAACAAGCACTTCGACGGCCGTGTCACCGATATACGGATCATAGCTGGTGGCACGAGTGGCAGGCCCGCAGAGTTGGAGGACCTCATGGACGGACAGAATGTGTATATTGCGCGGGTGAACGATCCCTTTGGCTACTCCATGAAGTGGACGTTCAGCAATGACAGCAGCAAGGTGCCAACAGTCGCCGTGGATCGTGGCAAACGGGATGTGGCCAAGCTCTATTCCATGATCAAGTGCTCCACGGGCTGCGATCCGTTGATATACAAAGGTTATGGCTGCTATTGTGGCTTCGGTGGCCATGGAGTGCCTGCAGATGGCATCGATCGCTGTTGCCGCCTGCACGACAAGTGCTATGGCCAGAGCAACTGCATCTCCTACCTGGAGTACTTTGTGCCATACGTGTGGAAGTGCTATCGGGGCAAGCCCCTGTGCGCCGTCGATCACGGCGAGTGGGGTGGTCCCGACTCCTGTGCCGCACGCCTCTGCCAGTGCGACCTGCGGCTCTCGCGTTGCCTCAAGAAGTATTACTGTCCAAAGCGTAGATCCATTTGTCACTCATCCCGATCGCGACGCTTACAAAATTTAATATTCTTCGATTAATTAAATGTTATGATTTATTTATTGTTGATGGAAATGCGTAAAAATGTTCCCTAAATTGGTATTTGTGTGTGCACTCGATATGGAATACTTATCTGATGAGGAATCTTTTGTGAGCTGTCCTCCTTCCCTGGCTAATGATGCCTTTGGCTCTTCCTGAACCCACTTCGTGCCTTGCTGCCATGTGGCCTCTCAGCTCTACTGCTGCTGCTGCCGCTGCTGTTGGCGGCCGGAGTGGAGATGCTGGCGCTGCTGCTGGCTGCCGTCTCTGGCACCACCGAGAACTCCTTCAGCGCCTGGACATCTTCCAGGAACAGACGCGCCGTCTTGTACTGCGTGGTGTGGGGCTTGTAGGCCAGCAGCACGTTGTGGGCCATGAGCAGCACATCGCGGTGCAGCTCGTTTAGACTGCGTATCAGGCCAGAGTCGATGTTGCGCTTGATGGTGGGGAAGTCCATGTGGCGCAGACAGATCTCCGCATGTCGCTGGGCGTGCTCGTCGTGAAAGGGTCGACGAAAGGGAGCTGCGTGCTTGCTCTCCTGCAGCGTCGCATAGATGGAGAGGAAGAGCTTCTTGGTGGCGGCTCGGGTCTCGCGCTTCTCGTCGGTGTGCTCGCTGGAGGCCGGCGAATTGGGTATACTGTCGATCACTGGCGTCGATGAATATCGGCGCCGTGTGCTCGATCTGGCCGTCGAATGGTCGCTGGCTGTCGTTGTATCGTCGTCCACCATGGGGCTCTCTGAGCGATCTCGATGGGGCAGCTTGCGCAGAAGCGGTGCTCGAGCCGGTGCCGATGGGGGCTGGGGAGTTCCAGCCTGTTCCTGGTCAGCTTTGGAATGCTCCTCGGCGGCCGAATGCTTGGCGGATTGCTGCTGCTTAGATCTGACACTGCGTGGCGGATCGTCCTGCTTGCTGCTGTCCGTCAACGAAGAGGTCTCCTCGTCCGTGTCGTGCAGGGACACAGCAACCGGTGCCGAGAGTGTGGCAGTCTTTTCCTCCAGTGCCTGCTGCTTGTCGGTTTTCTCTAGGCTTGCTTTTGCTTCACCTGCTGCCGATGTTGGCTCAGCACTTGTTTCGGACTCCTCTGTAGCTTCTACTGTGTCGGCGGCTTCGCTAACAGCTTCAGTTGTCGCCTCATTTGTGGATTTCTCTTCTTCGTTCTTCGAGACCTCCTGGTCAGCTTTAGTTGGCGGAGAACCTGCCGTGTCCTCACTGGATGTGCTGATGAGTGTTATCGTCTCCCCAATCTCTTCTACAGCCACCTCGCTGGCCAGACGCTCTGTATCCTCCGGCCTTCCATTTCCTTCGGAGGCAGTCACAGTGCGGTCTTTGCTGTTGTCCTGCGATACAACTGCCGCCAGTGGTATATTATCGTTTGAGTCATCACTGGAGCCAATTACCACCTCAACTGGCTTGGCCACTTCGCCGGTGGGCGTGGATCTGGTCTGTTTTCTCTTTAGTGCGTCCAGCTTGTCCTCGAAGTCAATCCCCTCGGATTTGTCGGGCACAGGAGAGGCAATCGCCTCATCTACTTCCTTGAAGATCTCATCACCGATGACGCTGGCCATGTCAATCGCCTCATCTACTTCCTTTAAGATCTCATCATCGATCACGCTGGCCATGTCAATGTCAATGTCGTCGATGTTTGACATCCCCTCCAGCAGCTGGTCGGCCTCATCGGCATCGACCAGGGCGTTTCCTGCGTCATCCAGCAGAGGCTGCTCCTGGCTTGCTGTGCTCTCAGATTTCTCCGCGCTGTCGACAGCCTCGGCAGCCTTTGCCGCCGCCGCTTTGTTCTTCTCCAGCAGCATTGAGAGGGTTGGAGCTGACTGTGAGGGACTGCGCTCCAGGGTGGGAGTAGTGGGTGTGAGCGCTTCAGTGGCTGGTGGCCCGGTAATGGGGCGTGACATGAATGCCGCATCGGAGGGGCTCTTCATGGAGATGGCCGGCTGGCTGGACACAGTGCTGGCTCCGCTGGTCAGCAGCGAGGTTATGGTGGGAGCCGTAGCTCTAGCCACACTACTGCCAGTGCCGGGCGTCGAGGGAGGAGCAGCTGGACTGCTGCTTGTGGGTGACTTCAGCAGGGATGTGAGCAGAGGAGACGGCCCAGCTTGCTGCTGTTTGTTGCCACCGCTGTTGATGTCCTCCACATCCATGTCGACGGCGGTTGTGTCCGTTGTCTGAACAGATCGCCGTGCGGCGGGACTGTTGTTGCGCCAGTTGGCCGTCATCTCCTTTTTGCGCTGCTCCCGCTCGCGCATTTGATTCTCCAATTTCATTTCCTCAATGCGCTTCGTCTCCTGCTCTTTCTCGATCTCCTGCCACATGTCTTGCATCTCCTGCTCGTCTACCTCGTCCGACTGCAACGAATCGATCTCGCGCTGTATCTTGAGATACATTTCCTGATCGGAGCGCATCTGCGCCTTTATCTCCTGCATTCGCTCCTCTGTCAGCCGACGGAGCAGCAGCTCTGTTGGGGTCTCCACCGAGGCCGGGGAGGAGACCCCAGCACTGCTCTCACTGCTGCGCTTCTTGCGCTTGGTGGCCTCCACGCTCTCCAGCAGGTTTCCGTACTGCACGGCACAATTCTTCTGCGAGTACCAATCTGCCGGTCTGCTGTTGTTGCTGTTGCCATTGCCGCAGACTGTTTTCAACGTGCGACTGACTGTAATCCAGTTCTGGTCGCCGCTGCAGGAAACCGATGACGCCAGGCACAGATGCTCCCGCTTGGTCCACGTGTCCAAAGGCGCTCGGTTCATTTGAAAACGCTATTTTTGCACTTTGTTTTCACAAAACAACAATTGCACTCGAAGTCGAAATAGAGGCGGAGAACTATCGATGGCACTATCGGTACTATCGTTGGTTGGACACTATCGACATAGCTCACTATCGATGGTTTATAGTGGTCGATAATATCACGATAGTCTCCAAAATTAGCCACGCACCCGCAAAAGGGCGAAAATCTCGCAAAGCTACAATTTTAATGATATAAGAAAACTAAGGAATGACCATATCTATCAGATCACCGAATTGGGATCTGATCATTATTATAGCCAGAATAAAGAAATCAATTTCCAGTGGCTATACCCACTCCATCCCGTAGTTTTTATTTGTTTTTTTCACATTCTCTCATTTAAACTCTGCTTCTGCCTCTGCAGTGTGCGGTTCTAGGGTAGGAGGCGAGCTAAAAGAGCGGGTTGGCGTGAGAAGCTATTTAGATGTAGATGTTGATGAAAGATGTAGAAAAAATTCAAAATGTAAAATTTATAATTTGAAAAAAGAAACTGTGAAGGTACAGATGTTCTACTGAGTACAGGGTATATAAGTTGTGACGCGTAATAAGCGTCTCACACGTCCCTTCTTCTTTAAAACCAAAACGTAATATACCCTGTTAAATCGATGCATCAGGGATGCATCAGTCAAGAGTATTATTAAGAGCACATTGTGTGCAACTATCGACTTGACTACAAACCATCGATAATATTCCAACATAGCTGTATCGCAGGCGCCATTCGAAACAACAAAAACAATAACAGGTTTTTTCAGACTCGCAATCTACAACATATAAGCAGATATAGAAAGCTTCGAAAATGGAGCCCATATCACATCTAGTTAAATCTACATTGCCCAACTACTTGTCCAACTTGCCGATTCCCGACAGTATTGGGGGCTGGTTCAAGCTATCTTGTAAGTTTTGAGCAAAGTGAACATTCGATCCAAATTGGAATTTGCCGTAAGGGCGCCCTACATTGAACTGACCATCACCACACGTCAAACCAACGATGACACAGCATCAAGGGCTATTATTGAGTTAAAGATTATACACATAACGTTGTGGGATTATCGTAGGAAATGCATTGGCTATAAGATTGGAAAGCATGCACTTCTTCCAGTGGCAGTAGCTACGGTGGACATGCTGCACCTGTTATGCAACGTTTGTTGAACTCTCGCCATTATGCCGACTGTGGGAACACGCAATTTTTAATTGGCTTCGGTTTATCTGCAAACGATAGCGGGAAGTGAAATTAGATAAAAGAATACCCAAAAAATATGCGTTGACGCTTCATCAAACAAAGAAACTTGCAGTTACAGTTATGTGTAGGCTATCTCTTTCATGCCAAGGCATTTCGGCCTTGTGCCGGTTACAGCTCAGTGATGCTGCTAGATCTGCTGCTTAAAATAAACATGCTAACTGCTCGGAACTTATCCCATTTACAGTCACGGATTGGCTCGCTCTCATTCCACCCACGGTTGTGGTGGCCGGCCTTGGGTACACCAGTTATCTAGCCTTCTGCCCTGCCGCGCGATGCAGTGACAAGAAATCTGGCCTCTGCAACAGCTTGATCCGCAAAAATGAGGCTAAAGTGGTGACCATGGTCGATGTGGAGGATATTGCAGATAAAGCGGCATTCTGTCGCTGCTGGAAAACCAAGAACGTAAGCTATCTGTTGATGCTTTTTCGGTGACGTGTTTTGATCATTTCTTCTTTCCTGCAGTGGCCCTACTGCGATGGCAGCCATGCCGAGCACAACAAGGTGACGGGCGACAACGTGGGACCCATTGTGGTCAAGAGGAATTAATTCCAGCGGTGCGTCGATGATTTTCGCGTTTAGCATTTCCTTGTTGAAATTTTCTTCGCCCCGGAAGGGGAGGGAATTCTTTTGTTCAAATACTTCAAGCCCTGTCGAGCCTTTTGTAATAGTAAGCAATAATTGATCGATATCGAATCAGATCTAACGAGAAGCCAATAAAAATTGCCTAATCAGATACTAAATGAACATTTAAAGGGATGGACGTATCATTTTTAGAAAACTGTTTATTCTTTATATAAATTATTTTCTGGCTGTAAGCTGGTTTTGTGGACAATATCATGATATATATAGAGTATGGGCGATACAAAACGATTCTTCAGTTGACAAATGCAGAAGCCAAACACAATACCAAACCAGAACACAACACAGCACGACGGACGACGTCTCATTATGATACTATCAGTTGGAACTTAAACAATAGAATTAGGCATCGTGATTTTGCTTTTGCTGCATTTTGAATCTCAAATTTTTATTGTTGCTGCTGTGTTGCTGTTGGGTGTTAGTTGGCTTTGCTATGCTTATTTGAAAATCTTGCCCTGGTTGAATTTGCGGCCATCCTTGTCGGTGCCGGACCAGGAGAAGTACTGGGTGACGAGCTTCTTGGTTTCCTCGCTCTTGGCATCCAATTTCTTCCAGTCGTAGGTCTCGTAATCTATCTGCCAGTCGGGCGACAGGGGGAAGGCCAGCTCCTGTCCGCGCCACACCCACACACCGGAGATGGTGCTGTTGTTGTCCTCACCGAAGAGGCACACGGAGGCGAAGGACTGCTTGCGCATCTTGTCTAGGCGCTGGAACATGCCAGTGATGAGATTGCACGACATGAACACCTTGGACAGCTCCTGGCTGTACTTGTATTCTCCGAACCAGATCGAGTAGTTCTCGGCGTCGAACTTCTCAAAGAAGTAGGGGATGGACTTGGCCTCCTCCTCGTTGGAGTAGACGCGCTTGAAGTCGTCAAAGTTGAAGGTGCCCTTGGGCATGGCATCGAAGGGATCCTTGGATTTGGGCTCCAGAGCCAATGCCTCATCGGCGGCATCCAATTCCTCGGCCTCGGCGGCCTTCTTGGGCGCAGCCTCCTTCTTCTCCTTGGGCTTCTTCTCGTCCTTTGGCTTCTGCTGCTGCTGGGGCTTGCCACCGCCTTGCTTAGCCTGGAATTCGGCGTACTTCTTGGGGTCGAAAACCAAAGCCTTTTCGCACAGCTTGTAGTCCTTGACCACAGCCTGCACTTGTGGCTGGTTCAGGATGGTGAGGAACCAACGGTTCACATTGCCGAAGGCAGCGCGTGCAGTCGGCTCCAGAACGTACTCGTACAGATGCAACAGGCTGCTGAAAACAATGATGTCGGCAAGGGTGATGCGCTCGCCTGCTAGGTAGGTGACATTGAGCAGTTTCTGGTTGAGCTGGGCCAGGACACCTTCTACGTCCTGCTTGGCAGTGGTGTTCTTCTGCTGGGGCAAGATTCCCAGAAGGGGGAACACCAGTGCGCAGGAGGCAGGCACGATTTCGTTGTCAGCAAACGAGATCCATTGCTGCACTTGAGCCTGAACGAAGGGGCACTTGCCACCTCGCAGTTGCTCGTTGGCCAAGAAGTAAGCAATGGCATTGGACTCGCTTAGGTACTTACCTTCAGCGGTCTCAAATGCTGGAACCTGTAAAAAGAACATGACACGCGGCACAAGTTAGTATTACGCACAGTAAAGTAGACATTTTTGCTGATGACGTAGCATGCCGGCTCAACAGAAGCGAGCACAAGCACTCACCCAAAGGCGATAAGAATATGTGCATGTTTTTGCCTGCAATTATTATATGTTTAATTACCTTGCCACTGGGGAATTTCTTCAGAAATTCTGCCGATTTGTTGGTTTCACCAAACTTGAAGTTATCGGCCACTTTCACCTTTGCGCCAGAGTACTGGGCGGCAATGAGCGCCTTGTACGCGCGGAAGTTCTCGGGATAGGTGTAAAGTGTCTGCAATTAGCCAAATCCGAAACGAAATAACATTAGTAACAAGTACTCCAACGCATTGGGCATGCGTTCAACATCCAATTGCTAATTATAGCCGCATGATTGCATTGTATTTTGCGAATTTTTGCGGCATTATTTTTTACTTACTCCAGTCGACATCGTGATTTCTGCCGGAGAGAGTGTGACCGTGTGACCGCGGAGTTATCGGTAAGAAATATACCAACATATACCATCTCACTTTAAAAATATACCGTAACATACCGTAGTCTTAAATCATATTCGTGGATGTTGATGTTCTATTTGATATAATTAGCTTGTAAAGACTTTTAACACTGAAACAATAATTTAATCCGACTTCAAAATCAATTTGGCTTATTATAAACACTAATTTTTATTGAATTGCCCTTATATTTTACAAATTTGACAATAAAGTTCTAAATAAAATGATATAATTAATAAAATGATTTCTGTCGGAGAAAAGAAAATGTAAAACCATCGATAGCTGCCTGATACTATCGAATGTAGTAGTGACCATCAATTATCGATCCATCGATTTCAGCCGGACATTTGCAGTGTGACTGGTATATTTTCTAATAAAATTTTAATTATCAAGTAAGATTGGTTTTGTTCTCAAACGATTTTCAAATAAAAAACAGTATTTCTGAATTTCAATGCCTACGCAATAGGAAAAATACTCCGTGCCATCGATAGCTGTACGCTTATCGATGTCACTTCACATCCCTAGTCGTCCGCTGCGGCGCATAATTTTACACGAATATAAAACACAATTTAATATTGTTTGTAAAAAACCTGAAAGTGCTAGTTTGCGGCAATGCAAATTTCGACTTGAAGGACACCTGGAACATCTAAAATGCCATGCTCGAAATAGTCTATAGTGAGGCAAATTTGTATAGTGAAAAAATGTGAAAAGTGGTGTTGGGAAGAAGAAGAAGAGCGGAGCGGAGCAAAATCAGACTTCTCAGCGAGTACAAGCCGTGTTGACGCGTGTGTGTAAGTGTGTGTTAGAGTGCATGTGTGTGCGTGTCTTACGTTGCAAACACACAAATTTCTTTAAAATTTCGCATTTGCTCAGCGGCGTTTTAATTACCCGTAGCAGGACTGTAAAGCTCCAATTGCCTTCAAATGTTGTTCCTCAAATTATGTGAGTTTCCCGAAAAGGACAAGCAGAAAAACAAAAAAAAAACAATCAGAATAATTAATCAAGTCCTTGAAGCATGCCGTGCATAAATTAGCTACATAATTATAACTGTTTACCATCCCAACTGTTGTTGTTGCTATAATTTGTGGGCTTTCGTTTTTTATGCATTTGTGTTGGAGAGGCAGAGCTTTTCGTGGTTCCGCTGTGGGCGCATACAGATTTTAGTTTGCCGTGTTCTCTTTTTTTGTGGGACGTGTGACCTTCATTCCAGCAGCTACAAAATCAATAGTAATATCGTTTACGTTCACGTTGCATTCACTAGACCCTGAGCCCAAGACAGACTAGAGCAGAGCTGAGCCCGGGGAGCCTACCCCACCAAAGCATAAAGCAAACGAGCGCACGCCCGCCACCGCCGGTAAAACCATTTGCCACCCCCTGAGTTTTGGCTTTCACAATATTTTTTGTCAAGTTCATGATACACAATATGTATGTATATACATATACAATTGCGGGCCAATCAATTGACTTACTGCCATAATGAGCTGGTGGGGAATTATGACGTTAATTGATATCGCATGTGATCGGATGAGGCCTTCCAGAAACAGCTGACCATAGCCCTCCCAGCTAAAAAACAATAAAAGCTTCTGATTGAGCTTTCGAAGCCATCAATATCTCAGAGATCAAACTGAACGATTTAGAAGGGGAAGTTCCCTGTGAGAATTTGTAGATTCTCTCTTGTCAATCCCCATTTACCAACCCTATTAAGTATGAATCACTGCTCGACCCAACGTAGGCAGTAGGCGTAGATTAATGATTGATTATCAAACAGTTTGTTATCATGTATAATAGAGGACTTATCAGGCACACAACAAAAACGATGACAAACACCTGAGAAACGTAAGAGCTTGTGCCATTCACATAGCATTGCTCATACTGCATGGTTCAGATTCCCTCCTTACGTCTTTTTTTATGGCTTAAAGATGTGTGTTACTACTTTAATTTTTGGTCCTTGCAGTAGGATGAAAAAATGCAAGAAAATGACTTAAACGAGCGTCAAGAGGAACCAGACAGTCTTCCACATACAAGCAACGACACAAACAACAAAAACACAAGCTGCATCGACAGCAGCAAACTTCAAACTCCCAGTGAGGCGGTCACGGTTACGGATCAGCAGCAGCCCCAGGAGGATACCAAGGATCCGCAGATAACTAAACAAGTAGATTCCTTTACGACAGCTTATTCAGAAGCAGGTGATACAACCAGAACAGCAAGCCCCGATAAAGTCGTCGATCAATCGGTGGATGAACAGTCGTCGTCCATAGTAGATACAGATAGAGAAGAGACTTTGCAGCAAATTCCAAGACGAAAACGTCAGCGTCGTGTTTATATCGCCGACACCTCCCGCTGTTACAGCTTACGATCCAAACAAGAGTCCAAAGACAAAGCTGAGACAGGGTCGAAGCAGGTGCCGACAACACCGCCGCCAGCGCAGGTCGCCTCCTCACCGACACCCACAGAATCCACAGAGTACACTAAACTAGGTGGGTTGGATATTTCCTCAGTCCCTAATCAATTGTACGATCTAAAAAGAGTTTTACTTTTTCAGAGCAATTTAATCCGGCATTCTGGAATTTGATTGAAGAAGAGGAAGTTAAATTCGTTGACAAAAAGCGACGTGCTGCCGGTGGACGGGGTCGCACGCGACGCGCCAAGCTACTGAGCGAACTTGGTGAAAACTACTCGCCGGAAACAGCGGCCGCTATTGCGGCTGCACAGCTTGAGCTCGATTCGACTGGGAAGCCATCATCACGTGCCACCCGTAAGAGAAACTCCGCCATGTCGCTGTATGACCGTCGATACCAGAGCACCTCCGATGAGCGGCGTGTGCCGAACGGGTATGGCGGCAATGGACTGCGTACAGGCAGTGCCGCCTCATCGAGTGACATTGAGGCGCAGGAGTTGCAGGGCCATCAGTATTATGGATCGTCAGGAGGCAGCAATCCAACGGGCGCCGGTACGGGCCTAAATGGCAGTGGAGCCGCTCTCAACCATGCGCCTTCAATGGGCACCCTCTGCAACATTGGCAACACTTGCTACTTGAACTCGGTGGTGTACACGCTGCGCTTTGCCCCCCTGTTTCTGCACAACCTGCACCATCTGATCCACGATTTGAATGTGGTGCAGCAGACTATAGTGCGCCAGCAGACGGCCAAATCGGCCTCATTGGGCCGAAACGTGAGTGCCACGCAGCTGGAGCATGCACGCAGTTGGAGCAGCAAGGATCTGGCAACCTCAGAGCACTTTAGCAACAGCACCAATGGCAGCAGCGGCGGTGTCAGTGGCAGCAGCAACACAACCAACAGCTTAATCAAGGCAAGCTTTCAGTCGGTCACGGAGAAGCTGCATGATCTGTACCACAGCCTACATGGCAATGAAATGGCCGACTCGACAGAGCCTTACCATGCGGACACACTGCTGCACGCAATACAGGATGTGAATACCACATTTCAGGGCAACCAGCAGCAGGATGCCCACGAGTTTCTCATGTGCGTCCTCAATTGCATACGCGAAACGAATCAAGCTCTGATCAAAGCCATTGACGAATGTCCCGAGGTCATTGTAAATGGGTAAGGGCTTAGATCACTCACCTAAATTCTAAAGAAACTTTTGCTTATACTTACCCAATTCATTATCGCTTCAGTTACATAGCCAATCCCGATGAGTTGGACTCTGGGGACGCTGCCCAAGAGCGTACGGATGCAGCGATGGCTCTGGCAAGCTCTGGCAACGGCAACACGCTGGCCACTAGTCAAACAACCACGACAAAAACGTCGTTCTTCTCACGCAAATCGAAGAGAAAAGATGAGGTCAAGTCATCGAAATCGACACGGATACAATCACCGCTGAAGGATAATAGTCCGACGGCGGGTGGCCTAACCGCTGCACCGGCGCATTCCACTGCCAACAGTCTCTTCTATTTGAATACAGTTGATCTCAGCGGCGCCAGTAACGTTGCGGCTCCAGCAGCAGCAACACCGACTGTTTCGCAGCCGGCACCAACCGCAAAGTACTCCAGTGACGATGAAATGAACCCGGCCAGTGCGCTTAAGGATAGCATGCGATTGAAGGACCGTATACTGGATCCGAATATTAACTTCTTCAATGCCGACTTTGAGGGCGTTGTGGTGCTGACCACCAAGTGTCTCAGCTGTGAGACGGTTACAAAGCAAAAGCAGGGCATGCTTGACATCTCCGTGCCGATAACAGGCTGCGACACTGCCGACCTGCAGGACAAGCCCAGCACCTACATTCAGGTAAGAGAATCCCTACAGAGAATCCATTGAACCGAATATAATTGTTGTACTTCTTTCAGAATTCTTGCATCACAAAGGAATACTTTCAGGGTGATAACAAATATAGTTGCAGTCAATGCACCGGCTACACTGAGGCCATACGCTCAATATCGTACGAGGTGCTGCCTCGTCTGCTGGTCGTTCAGCTGAATCGCTTCTCGGGCGGCATGCAAAAGGTGAGCACGTATGTGCCCACGACCTTTACCCTGCCCTGCTTCTGCGCCAAGTGCTGCGAGCTGAGCGACGGCAACAAGCTGCATGTGTACAAGCTGTACAGCGTGATAACCCATGTGGGCGCCACACTCAGTGTGGGCCATTACATTGCCTACACGTGCTTCCTGGATCTGCCCAGTGACTATATAAACTGCCCAAAGGATCGACGGAACACAATGTCGGGATCACAGACACAGCACTCGGCGGCTGCGGCGTCCTCCAATGAGAATACGGCACCAAATAACGGAAGCAGCCATGTGGCCAGCACACCCGTATCCGCGGCTGCCTCGGTCCTGGCCTCCTCTGGCACTAGTCTGATAAAAAAGATGAAATTTGGCCGCAGCAAGGCGTCGAGCAGCGGCGACATGAGCAAAAATGTAAAGCAACTGAATGGCATCAGCAGCAAGAACATCACCAATGGCATTGGTAAACTGAGCATGAACACCACCTGCCATGGCGTGAGCTGCTGCGCCATGCGCCTGTGCTGCAGTCAGCAACCAAGTGGCGCCGCCGGGAACAGCAACTCGGCCAGTTGTAGTGACTTCAGCGAGGAGTCCCTGCAGAATGGCAGCAACAGCAATCTCAGCCATGGCAGTGGCAGTGGAGCAGCAGGCGGCAGCAGCAGCATCAACAGCAGCAATGTTCTGCCAAATTATCCTACGGGTTATGGCAGTACGGGACGTGGCGGTGTCAAGGCCAACTATGCACACGGCGGCACGGATCCCATTTGGTACATGTGCGATGATGACAAGATCAAGGCGATGACACAGCGAGAGTTCGAGGAACTGTTGTCCCCATCACGGAAGATAACCATAACTCCATACTTGCTTTTCTATGCACGATTCGATCTGCAGCCGCCATCGAAGGCATCGGGCACAACATCCTCAACGCCGCCACCGCCATCTGCGTCATCGCAAAGCTCCTGGTCGAATGAGGCATTGTCCGGCAGCGGTGGGGGAGGTGCGCATAAGATTTGAGGGTATGCGAAAAAGCAGAGGAAACAGCAGCATTAATCAACAAGCCAAGCATGTGCGATACGTATTGGCATACTGATAGAATCGGATAGGATCGGATTGGATGTGTCTCTAGAATAATATAATAAGAAGATGAAGTCTGTTTGTTAAACAATATAATCGTACTAAGAAGATCTATCGTTTATCTACATGCATAACTATCATTAACATAACTAACCAGCGGTTTGACTGATGCCTCTCCCCCATACTTCGATGCCCAAGAAAATTTTATGTTTTTACACACATACACACTTCGGTTCTACTTACCGTTTTCATGGGATAATTTCATCGTTTCGTTTTACACACAACCTTTAAATTTTATTTGGCATTCACGGTTAAGAACAAATGCTGCGTAAACGGAACACGAATTTAAACGCCGAGAATGAAGACGGTTTAGAATTGTTTGGCTCCCCCGCGCAACAGGCAACATTTTCGATATACTCCTAGTGCATAAATTAAGTCCCTAATAATACATTTAACACAAACAAAACAAAAATGTTGTAATAATAATAATAACAATATTAATAATATATGTACGTATGAAATATGGAATAATCTTGGTTATTCTCATAGAACAAAACGAAAAGAAATCCAGTTGAAGGGAGACTGAAAGCAGTAGCAGTGGCAGCAAATCAATCTGTAATAATTACAGCATCAAGTATACATACATCTAGTAAATGGAATGGAATGGTTTATTGTAAACAATGAGCTATACATACATATGCATATATTTAAGTGGATACATATGTGTGTACACAATATTCACGAATTATACATATACGAAGTGTTGAATAGTTGTTAAACGCATGACTATCCATAGGAACACGCAGCAAGCAGGCGGAATATAATTGATTCGAATTAAAGAAAGTATGGAACAGACAAGATCAGATCAGATCTGATAGAACGGAGAGAAACGGCATCAAGATGGAACAACTGAGAATTGTTATAAAATGTTCAGTGCATAGTTTATAAAAGTGTTTTCATATGACAAAGGAGAACAGGAGAACTTCATCACACAAAAACCACATAACATAAACGAGTGTAATGTAACATTGACAAATAGTTTTAATAATTATTATAATAAATACGAAATAATAATAATAGCACACACACTCTCTCACCACACCCACACACATACTACTTATGCAATATGTTTAGTATTTAGATTTAGTTTCTCCATTTGCATTCTAATTCATAAAATTCGCTAGTTTTACTCTCAATTTTATTCCGTTCCTTTTTAGTTACTTTTTTTCCTTGTTTTTCAAGAGCGCTGCTATAGTGATATTAACATTTACAAAGCAAATAATTATGTAATGTACATTAACACACACACACACCACACAACAGGGAGATATGTATGTATGTATGATTATATTGGAAGGGACGATGTTGAACTCCAATTCTATTTATGTTTATTATGAATTAGCATGTTCTAGCTTAACTAAATATACGAAATATACAAACATCTACATATGGTATATGCAGTATCTCGTATCTTCATATTTCTAACCCCCATACTTATCCACTCTTATCCCCTCCTCTGCCTCCTGAAGCCTCATAACCTTCCTCAGAACACTGGCCGCCTTCTTGGCATTCCGTGCTCGCCATTTAACGTTGCCCACCATGCTGCTTACCGCCTGGCGTAGCTTATACACCAGTTCCTCCGACTGGATTTCTGGCATGTGATTCCTAATGAGGATGGCCAAGCTTTGCGCTTCGCTCTTGGTGTGGATGTTACGGGTCACGGCAATCAGCAGATGTGTAAAATTAATAATGGTTTTGCGGCTTTTCCTATTGCGAGTAAAGGCTTTGGAAACATATTTGATCAAGTCTTTTATTACTTACGGAAGTTTGCCTGCGAAACGTTCCATCAGATATGCTTTGGCTATGTGAAAACCCACATCCTGATTGGTCATCGCCTCCACTGCAGCACTAACATCTTCATCGGGCATTACGCCATTTGGGCGCATAATGAAATCCAAGAACTTGAGCGCCACCCACGGTCTTTGTGTGCAGGCCAAGGCGCTCAGGAGCATGCCACGGCTATGGTGATCGGTGGGGCTGCTGTAGCGCCGCCACAGGAAGTACCAATTGATTTCATCGCCCTCGGCAATGGCCGTACAGTAGACGGTAGAGCGCATGTCCAGCGGTATGGGATTGTGTTTCTCCGGATCGTTGACTGACCGCCAGCGAAGAAATAAATCTATGGCATCCTTTATGCAGCGATCCACCCTGTTGGCACATGCCCAAGCAACGAGTTGCGTCTTCAGCATTTTCTGTTTAAGCATCAGGCCCTTCTTGTCTTTCAGTCCACCCAGATGCTTGTAGATGGGCGTTGTTATCAGCTGTGCAAGACCCTGGGAGCGAAAAGGAACCAATGAGTCTGTGGGCACAAACGATGGAGCCCCATCGAGATGCCTACCCTGAAGCTGGGATAGTGAACTGTGCGCCTCATGATGTGAGTCAGTTTCTGCAGATTGGACATGGCCATCAGCCAGGGCGAATACTCCAACTCCCGTCTCAGATACTTCACCAGCGGCAGCGCCACATCGTATCCGATGTACCCGACCCAGGCCAGATTGAGGGAATCATCCAGCAGCTGTCCTCGGTTCAGGGCGTGAATTTTATTGTAGTGTTCGCTGTTCAAGGTGTCAACGATAAGCTCCCAGTTATGCCTGTCGTAGTTGACTTTATAGAGGCCAGAAATGCGCAGATTGAAAATGGCCCACTGCTTGTCGGAGATTTGCAATGGAATATTCAAGACATCGGAATCCGTATTCGTATCCTTCACGGAATCTGATTCACTGGGACACTGAAACCAATGTCGAGGTACTGTGTCCATGAAATCCAAACGCTTGGATGTTGTGAAGGAGAGTGGTATCCACCAGCAGTCCTGCCGCGTATCCTCCTGCTGATCCTGCAGGAAGCGCTGCTGCGTTACATTCGCTGTGCCATCATTGTAGTTCCGGGTAACATTGATCAGCGGATAGCCCGGCTGCCTTGTCCACGTGTTCATAATGGTCGCCACACTAAAGTTGTCCGGCAGGTTTTTATTTTCTTCCGCCACCCGAGTGAAGGCTGCCCAAAGATCCTTCCTGCCAGCATTGCCATAGGCGAACCGCTGCAGATAGTCACGCATGCCCGCCTTGAATGTGTCGGTGCCCAGGAAGTGGTGCAACATTCGCAGGACAATGCCACCTTTACCATAGGAGAACTCATCGAAGGTGGCGCTGATCTCCTCGCCATCCATAACGGATCGCGCGAAACTCCGGGAGTTGTTGTTTGCATCCGTACTGAAGATCGTGTTCAGACTCGCGACGATCGTGTGCTCGCAAGGCTCATGGGCAGGCATTAGTTCCTGCAGGGCATAGCAGCCAATGTACGAGGCAAAGCCCTCGTTCAGCCAGACATCCGACCACCATTTGGCCGTGACCAGATTGCCGAACCACTGATGTGCCATCTCATGGGCCACCATCTCTGCAATTGCATGCCGCTCCGACACTGTCGTCTCGGCTGTGCTGAAGATTCTCGATTCTTGGTAGGTGACCAGGCCCCAGTGTTCCATCGCTCCCGCGTAGTTGGGCACGGCCATCTGATCCATCTTTGGCAATGCGTAGTTGATGCCGAATAATTTCTCCAGAATCTGCAGTACCTTGAAGCCAATGACATTGCCATAGACCATGGCACGCAGAGTCGTGGAGTTTCTATCGTGGCGCGCCCAGGAACGGAACTCGAATCCGCTGTCTGACTTCACGGTCGTTGTATGATCAAAGTCGTTCACGGAGAAGGCCACCAGATAGGTGGGCATGGGAACGGACTCCTGAAACTCCGTCCAAACGTATTTGTGAAGCTCGGGGCTGTAGATAAAATACACGTAAAGGCCAGACAGAGCTTCCCCATGATCGACTTACTGAGGAGTTATTTGTTTAACTGGCATATTGCTGAGCGAATGATAGGCCTTGTCGTGGCCCAATGTGATGGTAAAGTTCGCTTTAAGCTGGGGCTCATCGAAGCAGGGAAACACATCCCGTGCGAGTGTTGGCTGGAACTGAGTGGCCGTCAGATATCTGCAAGAACATTTCTTTATAAGGAACACGAACTGCTGGGTGCCCGTACCTGGTATCATTCTCTCTGTCCTGGTACTTGTTCCAATAGTAGCCATCTCCGCCCTCAATTATATCCCCTGAAAAGGCCAATCTCAGCTCGTAGACCACATCGGGCACAAGCTTCGCAGTCAGAAATAACATGTAATATTGCAACTCTGGCACTTCGCCAGTTCCATCCAACTCAAATGCCGTATCGTTGCCATCCAGAGCAATTAATTTATTTTGGGACTCATGGATCGTAATGTTTCCAGCATGTAGGGTTACATTATCTGTCTCGAATCGGGTGACCATTTGAATGTGCACTTCGCCTTCGAAGGTGAACTTTTTGGGCCCATGCAAATGGCTGACAATCTTTAGATTGTAGCTCAAGGGTTTCAGCGCTCGCGGCAGTCGGGGATGGGTGTATTCTGCTCGGCATAAACTTAAGCAGAATAATCCAACACAAAGCAGAGAATGCAAATGTCCAGGCATGATTGTGGTAAGGAATTACTATTCGTGTGATCTTTTAAGAGTCTTTTGTATCGTTTAATCGTTAGAAAAATAGTCTCTTTATGTACTTGAATACGAATATCGGAATTTAAGCAACAATATTCTCTTCTTTACTTGTAAGTCTTTATCTTGCTCCTTGCATATGCAACATCCACTGCCACTTGTTAAAAATAAACTAAACCAAAGCCAAGGCAAAGCTGCCTTTTATAACCCATTAATCTAGAACCCAAAACATCTTTCAATTATTGAAACTTTTAACGACCAGACAGGGCCGTAATCATCTCCGGCATACCCTACCCCACAGAAATGGAAAATCTTCATTATGGATATACTCGGATAATGCTTGTATTGAATAGTTTATTGGAGGATTTTCTAAATATATATATCGTATTCCTGCTTAACTGAAGAGATTCCTTCGTCAATTAGAGCTGATGAGAGCTGGAGGGGCTGGGCTAGGAGGACACTGGCTTAGAGGAGGCTCTGAATGGAGCGCGACATCTGATGTAAGTTGCGATTTTTCCATTGCACATTGGTGAGCATCGTCTCGAGGCTCTGCTGAATGGCCTGCTCCAGACCCTTGAGCGAGTCCCGTGACATCAGAACAAAGTTCCGGAAGTCATTAAAGTCGCTCTGGGTGATGACTTGCTCCGAGATGGGCGTCAACAGGCGACCCATATCCTTGGTTAACGGATAGTAGCTGAAGGAAAACACAAAAGGGATTAACATATAATGCCCATCACTCCTCCAATCGTTATTTGTGACACTTACAACTTGTATAAGAAGTTGACATTGTCCATGAAGTATTTCTTGGCCAGTAGTGAGCCCACTTCGTTGAAGGCAATTGCCTGGAAGGCCCACATCGAATCCTGTTTGCGTATAGCCTGGTTCGGGTCGTAGGTCATTTCCAGATACCTCTGCAGAATCCAAACCTCCCGCGAGCAGCCCAGAGCCGTCAGAATGGTGCGCTTCTCGGCAGCCACATTCGAGTTCTTATAGCGTGCCCACAGGAACTCCCAGTCCGAGTCACTGCCATGCCTGATCGAGGTGCAGTAGATGGTGCCCCTGAGGTTGAGCGGCACGGGGTTCGTCTCGTCGGGCTGTGCCTCCGATCGCCAGTTGCGATAGTACTGCAGGGCCTGGGGCACACAGTCACCCACCTGATACTGGCACGCCCAATTGGCGATCATTGTCTTGAGCAATATCTGATCCTGCTGCTGTATGCCACTGAATGTGTCGTTGAGGCCGTTCAAGTCCATGTAAATCGGTGTAACCAGCTTCTTCATATAGCGCTGCGGGTGAGGTAGAGGTGCAAACAATACGGATTAATGGGTATTGGGTAAGCGTTATATGATGTCTGGGGAACACTTAAATACCCGGTAATCGTTGAGCTGAATGTACATCTGTTTGGATCTTAGAAATTACAATTTAAAGCTAACATTCTGCGATTACCGAATATTTTATAGTCGTTGAATTGACACGACTATAGTCTCCGTTTTACTCGTTCTTACATCATGCATTGACTTACGACAAAAAATAACTTTTCGTTTGGAGTTTTGTTGGATGGATTTTTGGTTGGGAGTGCAATTTAAAGACAGTTTAGAATGAGAGCCAGAGGTTATGCCAAGTGCAGGATTTGGAATACATTATGGAGTACTTGTGGGAGTTTGGGGAATTTACCTTGAAGAACTCAAACTCCGGCGTCTGTCGCACAATGCGACTCACACGTCTCAGATTCTCGAGTGCCGACTTCCAGGGCAGATACTCGCGCTCCCGCTGCAGATAACCAATCAATCGCATGGCAATCTCGTAATCCTGCTCGCCGGTCCAGGCCAGGTACAAGGCATCGTCGATCAGCTGTGCGCGATTGATCACGTGGATCCTCTCGAAATCCCCCTCGGTGAGTGTCCCGATCAGCAGCTTCCAGTTGTGCGAATCGTAATTCACTTTGTAGAGCGTCGAGAGCTGCGTATTGAAGATGACCCACTGATCGTTACCGGGCAGATCCTGTATGGTCTTGGGCAGACTCTCGCCCGTCTTGCCGCACTCCATCCATGCCTTGGGGGCCGTGTTGTTGAAGTCCTGCTCCCCCTGGGTCGTGTAGCTGAGGGGCACCCACCAGCAGCCGCCGCGATGTGCCCGCGAGATCTGAGTGTTGAGCAAATATCGCTCCTGGCTGAGCTTGGCACTCTTGCCTGCATAATCCCGAGTGACATTGATCACGGGATAGCTGGAAGATCGAAGAGGTTTAGGAACTGTAATTAAAAGAGTTTCGAAAGAGCTGTCCATACCCCGTTTGTAGTGTCCACGAGTCCATGATGCTCTTGATGTCATAGCTCTTGGGCAGAGCACTGAATTTGTGTGCCGCCTGGGTCAGCGATTCCCAGAGATTGTCCTGTTCGGCGTTCTTGTAGGAGTACATCTGCAGATAGGACTGCAGACCCGCACGGAAGGACTCTTCGCCGAGGAACATGTGCATCATGCGCAGCACCGACGAACCCTTCTGATATGAGATCTGATCGAAGCTCTCGGATATCTCCGAAACCATTTCGATGGGTCGCGAAATCGGGTGACTGCTCTCCAGTGCATCCTTCCTGAAGATGGCCAGCAGATTGGACAGCGAGTCCTGCTCCAGGGAGCGCCACTCCGGATTGATATTCTCCACACCCAGACTGGCAATGTACGTGGCAAAGCCCTCGTTCAGCCAGAGATCCGTCCACCACTTCATCGTCACCAGATTGCCGAACCACTGATGGGCCAACTCATGGGCCACCACATTGGCCAGCCGCTGCTTGTCCGCCAGCGAGGTGTGATTCGGCGAGAAGAGCAACGCAATCTCCCTGTACGTGACCAGTCCCCAGTTCTCCATGGCACCCGCACTGAAGTCGGGAATGGCAATCTGATCGATCTTGGGCAGTGGGAACTTGATGCCAAAGAACTGTTCGTAGTACTGGAGGACCTTTGGCCCGAACTCTGCCGCATAATCACACTGGTCGATGGCATTCGGGCGGGCCCAGGTGCGGAAGAGCGGGCTGTTCGGCAGTGTGGAGGGTTTGTTCGTAAAATCATTGACGGAGTAGGCCACCAGATAGGTGGACATGGGCACCGACTTCTCGAACTCGACCCAAATGTAATCGGCCAGAGATTCGCTGTTAGGGAAATACTTTTACTTTTCACTCTACATCAAATCTAATGACGATCGAAACATACTGCGGTTTGGTTTCCTTCACTGGCATATTGCTGAGACCCGTGTACCTCTTGTTGAATCCCAGAGTAACCACAAAGGGTGCCTTGTAGCCGGGCTCATCGAAGCAGGGGAAGGCGGCACGAGCCGAGGCCGGTTCGAATTGGGTAATCGAGAGCCATCTGTCAAGGAGATTCCATCAGTTGTGTATAAGTTTGTACCCTGAACCTGTCTCGCACCTTGTCTTACTGGTTTCACTATCCTTGTAGGAGCTGCGGTAGTAGCCCTCCAGCTGTTTATTCAGATCAGCGGCAAAGGGCAACGAGAGCTCGTAGACGTTGCCGGCCAGCAGCTCCTGGCACGTGTTCAGCACATAAAAATCATGGGCAGAGTTCAGCTCCGTGGAGGACACACAATTATCCTTCTTCTCGTCGCCGCGAATCTGTCGGAGCGTGATCTGGCTTTCGTCTATGGTCAGATTCTTCGAGTGAAGCGTTATGTTGTTGGTGTTCTGCAGCACCTCCACGAGAATCTTGACTGTGCCAGCGAAACGCAGCTCCTCCGGATTATCCAGATGCGTCAGAATCTGCAGATGGTACTCCTGGGGCCGCACAGCCGACGGCAGGCGGTAAAAGTTATAGCTGGAACTGGTGCTGGCCGCGGCCAGGCCCAGTCCAAGGGCCACCACGAACAGCAAAAACCACTTCATGGCCGAACTCTACAGAGGAGATGAGGCAGAAGAGAAGGAGGAGAACTCGTCAGGGGGTTTTTGTGGGGATGACTCGCCATGCAATTAACTAAATCACTTTGGAAATTCATTAAATAAATCAAACCGAACGAAGCAAAGCGCAAACACTTGTTACTGTTTTACGTTTTCCATTTTCTGTTTCTCTGTTTTTCTGTTTTCATAATCGTAATTTACTGTGTTTTCTCATTGCTTTATTTCGATTAAATGCAAATCGCACTTCGTTTAATTTGTTTTCATTTACGATCGCGGTGCGGGAGCTCTGCTCATTATGCCGGACACGTATTAAGGTCTGGGCCAATAAAACTCGATTCATTATGCTCAGTGGCGTCTTTTTGGGTTTGGGTCGAAGCGAGTACTTAAGCACGTCTGCCCTTGCCGGCGGGAGGTACTACTTAGTTGTGTGGCTACATGTTTGATCAACCAATATAAATCTTTACTTCTGTTAAATTCGATTAAACATATGCGCTATGGAATGTAATTTCACATTTTATCATCCTGAATTTACTCCACAGTTTACTAACTACACATTTGACTAAGCGCAAAGTAAAAATAATTAAAATAAATAAATAAACTCAAAGCTGAAACGCTTTCAATTCTTGTGTGGTCTTGTGTGGTAATGTTTCCAAATTATGGAAATTATGTTGAATAAATTCGGAAATAAATATTGTAAAATTCTGAAGAAAGAGCTACTCCTAAAAGCTATTCTTTACTCGTATGGTCTTTAAATGTAGTCCATAAATGTAATTTTCAAGCATGCTAAAACTCTCCAGATCACGGTGTAACCGCACCCGAAGCAGAGTAGAAGGAGGCGGAGTTGCATACTCAAACATTTACTAGACTGGATTAACCAGATTGCAACTCCCTCCCGTTTCGCTTTATTCCACTCTGCTCGCTGGCACTCCTAATATTAATTATGCAAAAGTTGTTCGGTTTTTTCTCTTTTCTGGCTTCTGCTTTTCAAGTTCTTTGGGTGCATACATATGTTTGTATGTAAATGCGGGTGCGTTCAATGAACCTGAAAAAATTAGCATATACATATAGTATGGAAACCGATGCCAAGCCTTTGGAAGATTATGTGAGATAAGCTACAATAAGCATAAATCAGAACATGCTTTGAATCTTAAATAATTCATTTTAGTACCTGTAAAAAGGAAATGGAACATTTGTCTAACTATAACTAAT